ATAACTATGTCTCCAAAGGTTACCAACAAATTACAATTTGGTATCAACATATCACAGTTAGGCACCATGATAACCCAGTCGTGTATTAACCCAGTCGTGTATCTTCATATCCCAGTCAGGTACTATCCCATTTTCTTGCACTATATTATCAGCAAGAGTACGAGTGGAAACTTTGGGACTTGTTTCCTTAAGTTGTTCATGTTTACCTAACAGTAAATAGGTACCTGAGCGTTAGTTGACCGGTATGGGCTGCATCATGGGGACAAAAGTAACCTAATTTGCCCGAAATGCTCTACATAATAAGGGGCTTTCTATATATATTATGTCATTTATATCAGGTCTGTATAAGTTGTATCATGTACATATAGAAATAAAGATTATTATTATTATTATTATTATTATTACTACTACTACTACTACTACTACTACTACTACTACTACTAGTAAGAGGTAAACTCAACACCCAAGAGAACCAGGAGCTGCAGATCCTAGCCAGGTACCATTATATCCCAGTCTTTGTAGGTTAGGTTAGGTAAGGTTCGTCAGGAAACAGGACAAATGTTTCCTGACGCGGGTCTTAGTCAGATGATGACCCGCCTTTGGAGCTTTTGGTCATCTGACCGAGGCCTTCCGCTGGCTTACCGGTCCACCCCTTTAAAATTATGGTCATTTATAACCAGTCTGTCTATATACCTTAATAATAATCCCAGTCTTTGTAAACTGCCACATTTAAGTCACGCACAGGGAAGTGCTGATACTTTCCTTCCTCTATTAAAAAAAATTTATTATGCTGCTATGTATGATAATCTATGTAACTGTATTTATGTATACCTGAATAAACTTACTTACTTACTGGGGCGCCTGCTGCTGCTTCTGCTGCCGTTTCGTGGAAAAAAAAAAAAAACACATAGACACAGACCGGTTCAGAATGCTATGTCCCGCCCCTTAAAACGTATCGTGTCCCGTACGTGAACGTTCCGGCAGCGACCTGGTCTGGTCGCTTGTATATATATTCAAGGTGTCGAGCTCAAAGGAACAGCGCGACCACAAGTTGCTTAGACACAGCGTACAGAGTTCTCTTCTGCTTAATAACAGCCGCTCGTGGAAGCAAGTTCCTGTAAACATGGATACTGAAGCGGGTGCTAATGTAAGTGTGAAAACGTTGGCCATTTGTGTTCTTTTCATTGTAGATTTTTTTTGTATGTGTGGTGGGGCTGTATTAGTGATGTGATTGTGATATTGGTAAATGCTTGTAACGATAGCAAGAATTTTGATGTTTCTGATTATCCATGCGCCCGCACACATGCGTATAATTCCCACACATAAGTTTATTCAGGTATACACAAATACAGTTACATAGGTTATCATACATAGCAGCATATGTGTAGAGAATCTAGGATAACCCAAAAAAGTCAGAGTGACTTATTTTCAGTGATATAATTTATTGAATAATAGATGATAAAGGTAAGATATGCAGAATAAAAGATATAACCTGAGTTACTGTTGCAGTGAATAGTTAGTGTGGTTTTAGTGACGTATCGAGTCTTAATCGGGATTAATAATGTGTATGTAAATGAATCAACCAAATATTTATTGAGGAATTATAAAAATTTATTTTTTATTCCGGTTAACTAGTGTCCAAGCTCAGTGAAGATGCAACGGTATGCCTGTATATTTGGAAAAATCCTCAAATGTATGAGTGTTTCCAGTGGATGTTTGGTGGACGATTTTAAATTCGAAATTAAATTATCATAGAAAAGAGAACCCTTTTTTCACCTGCTATTTATGCTTGTTTTATATTCTGGTCAGAACTACGTTTCATTGTTTTGTTTTGAGATGTGTAGGTTAAATAATAAGTGCTGCTTATAGGTTGTGTCTGGCAGGCAGAGACATGTCACAAGCCAGTGATCTCCAGTCCGCATTATTTGTCATCTCGGAGGTTGAAGACAGCATGTTATTCCAGCTATAAAAGATAATTTATGCATTCTTTGTAAAAGCTGGTCAATGACGTCGCCCTTACGCGTGTAGTAGGGCGGGTCACCACCATTCCTCTCTTGTCAAGTGACATAATCGACCGGGCTGTCTATGGCAGAGAAAATTGTTATGATTTTAATATCAGACCTGACCAAACTCGAGCCTTTGATAATTTTAGATTTACAAAGATTTTAGATTTACAAAGATATAATAGTAACTGCTCAGTTTAAGAGAAAGAGCTCAGGGAGGGCGTCTCCCTCGCCCCTTAGTACAGGAATTGTTTACATCAGTACAGTATTGACATACCTCTCATACATTTTTTATATACTTTGTGTATATCCTGTAAGGGTCAGATAGATCCATTCAAGAAAAATGCATAAAAAAGCGAACTGCAAAGAAAACATATACTACTCATTTAACATGATTATGAGTGAAGTGTTGCATCATCATGCGGCAAACCCAAAGATGTAGAGCTGTGTTTAATCTGGCGGAGTTATCCCAAAGTTGCGCCACGTTTTCTGTAGATTTCTAAAGTTTTCCGATGTCTACGTTTACCAACATAGTTTTTATTTATTAGTAATTTATTTATTTAGTAATTTATTTAGTAATAGTAAGTTTATTAAGGTATAGGTACCTTAATAAACATACATAAATTTAGGTGACTAAAGTTACCATACATAGTAACATGTGTAATGTACTTTGGATAATCCCAAAAAAGTCAGACGAATTGACTTACTTCCTTTCATGTTCCTTTTTTTTATTATACAGCAGTAAGTTTATTTAGGTACAGGTACACATAAATACAGTTACATATATTATTATACATAGCAGCATATGTGTAGATTACCTACGATAACCCAGAAAAGTCAAAGTGACTTATTTCCATTGGGATCCTTGAACTTATTTCCACTGGTGTCCTGATTACAGTAATAAGAGTGGAACGGATTGCCTGCCAGGAGCCTGTTCTAGCATGAGCCAGTTTAGGAAGAGAGATAAAAGATACATAATGAATGAAGCTATAGAAAGGGAATGATTTCTTGTATATCTAACATTCGTGTACCTGCTACTGTAAGCTGATCCTCTCCATTTGAAATTCATGGCAGCAACTCAGTTCACTTTATTCCTATCGCACCTTCTTTTACTATACACACATTTTCACACTGTTACGCTACTTAGCTATTTTAATTTTTAAAGTTATAATCATGGCTGATTTCTACCGTAACTTACAGGCAGTCTTTAAATAACAAGATATTGCAAGAGGAGGGGGGGTTATCCTAGGTAATTTACACACATGTTACTATGTATGATAATTGTACTTTTGAGTATCTGTATCTAAATAAACTTATTTACACCCATAGTGTGGGCGGAGGTCAAAAGATTACCGAGGCACATAATGGGTCCAGGTTAGCAAACAGAATTGTAATGAAGTGTTGACATGTTCTCATCTGATTAGTCATAATGAGGTGTTTAATGTATACGTTATTTCAGGTACAGAAACTTCATGGTGATGGACATTACTTGTGACTGTTCCCTGTGCCATGATTTCCTTGTTTCGTGACATTGTTCCCTGTATCATGACTGTTCGCCATGATTGTTCCCTGCACCTTGGTTGACTTCTCGGCACCATGATTGGTTCTTGCAACATGACTGGTTCTTGCAACATGACTGGTTCTTGCATCATGATCCTTTCTTGTGCATTGACTCTTATGTACCATGACTGTTCCCTACACAATGATTGGCAGTTCCCTGCACTTCTGATTTTTTCCTATACCATGACTGTTCGCTGCACCACGGTTGACAGTTCCATGCACCGATATTGTTTCCTGTATCATGACTGTTCCCTGCACCTTGACTGGCAATTCACTGAACCTTGACTGACTGTTCCCTGCACCATGACTAACAGTTCCCTCCATCCTGATTATTATTATAATCAAAAAGAAGCGCTAAGCCACAAGGACTATACAGCCCCTCCATCCTGAATGTTTCCTATACCATGATTGTTCCTTGCACCATGACTGACAGCTCCCTGTACCTGCTCCCTCCACCATGACTGTCAGTTCCCTGTTTCTTGACCATTTCCTGCACCATTACTTTGAACCATGGCTGACTGTTCCCTGCACCATGGATGCCTGCTCCGTGCACCATGGCTGCCTGCTCCCTGCACCATGGCTGACTGCTCCCTGCACCATGGCAGACTGCTCCCTGCACCATGGCTGACTGCTCCCTGCACCATAGCTGACTGCTCCCTGCACCATGCTGTTCCCTGCACCATGACTGACTGCTCCCTGCACCATGACTGATTATTCCCTGCACCATGGCTGACTGCTACCTGCACCGAAACTTTCCTTGCACCATGACTGCTGTTCCCTGCACCATGACTGTTCCCTGCACCATGACTGCTATTCCCTGCACCATGGCTGACTGCTCCCTGCACCATGGCTGCTGTTCCCTGCACCATGGCTGCTGTTCCCTGCACCATGACTGCTGTTCCCTGCTCCTGGATAACTATAAACTGCTGCAGTAACAGCTTGCATTGCCTCAGTTCACCTCGTCCCCAGCCACTCTACCTCACACTCGTGCAAGAACAAAAACAAAATCAATATATAATAATATATCGTACACATAGCTAATTACTTATTAGTAAATAGCTAATATATATATATATATATATAATATATATATATATATATATATATATATATATATATATATATATATATATATATATATATATATATATATATATATTTATATATATATATAATCTAGTATTAACGTCACATAGCTAATATATATATTATATCTTCGTGTGCTCGAAAATAATGATTAATAATGACGCTGATGACTAATATTCTCTGGATTTTTTTTTCTGAAAGCACACTAAAGATTCCAGATTTAGATAATGCCGAAAGTAATATTTTTAGAATACACATTGTGGAAAACAGATTTAGGTAGGAAAATACTATTTGTTATATGTTAGCGAGTAAAATAATGAAAATTGCTAGACTAGAGGGAGACGGGAGCCTCGTCCCTGTGAAAATTCAGTTCACATTTCCTGTTCGGTGGTGTCGTGTCTCCGTATATTTTTGCTGCATTTTCGGCGGGGATTTCTGCGACATTTGGATCCGTTATCAGTTGAGAATGTGGCGAAGGTGATAACGATAACAAGGTAGTGTGTTAGCTGTCAGTGGTGCAGCTGAGAGATGTGTTGCCACGTCAGTGTTGTGTGTTTATTGTGAGGAGGGAGGAGGGGGGTCGAGGCCGCGGGAGTTACAAAAGTGAAGGTTGCAGTATGAAGAGGACGACTATGGCAGCTTATGGCGATGATGAGGTGAATACTGTTGCTCTTTGTTTTGATTCGATGTGCAGTTGGTGCTTTATTAGTGTTTCTCAAATTACACGCATACAACGCACCGTCTGCCTTTCTCCTTCACTTGTTCTTCCATCTTTCTTTATCATATCCTACCATTGTTATGTCCTCCACCTTCCTTTGTCATTACCTCCACCTTCACCTCCATCCATTCTGTTCCACCACAAACTAAATCATCCTAGTCGTAAAAGCCACTTCAGTACCATACATGTTCACTTTCCTACAGTACCATACATGTTCATTTTCCTACAGTACCATACATGTTCACTTTCCTACATTACCATACATGTTCACTTTCCTACATTACCATACATGTTCACTTTCCTACATTATCATACATGTTCACTTTCCTGCAGTACCATACATGTTCACTTTCCTGCAGTACCATACATGTTCACTTTCCTACATTACCATACATGTTCACTTTCCTACATTACCATACATGTTCACTTTCCTACATTACCATACATGTTCACTTTCCTGCAGTACCATACATGTTCACTTTCCTGCAGTACCATACATGTTCAGTTGTCTTGCTCGAGCAACATATTCTGTCACCACCAGTAACAATGGAAGGAAAGTGAACTAAACAACACTTAAAGTTTCATTAAGTATAAAGAATATATTTATTTTGGGTCAGATTCAGAGAACTTAGCCACATGTTTTACCGTGTTCCTGATATATATATATTATATATCTATTATATATTTATTAATATATTTATATATTATATATATATATTATATTATATTATATTTATATATATATATTATATATATATAAATTTATTATTATATATTATATATATATATTATATATTTATATTATATATATATTTATATATATATATATATATAATAATATATTATTATATTTTATATATATATATATATATATAAATATATATATAAATATATAGAAATATATGAAATATATAAATAATATATATATAATTTATTATATATATTATTATATAATATATATTATATATTGTTATAATAAAGTTAGGTAGTTTTCTAAGATTCTTTTGGCGCAAATTAAAATTTTTTTACATTAACATTAATGAAAAACTATATTCTTTAAACGTATAAGAGAAAATTTTAGAAAGGACTTAATAAATTTTAAATGTAGTTCTTGCTAATTGACCGGTTTTACTATTCGGCAGACATATATATATATATATATATATATATATATATATATATATATATATATTATATTATATATATTATTATAATATATATATATATATATATATATATTTATATATATATTTATATATATATATATATATGTGTGTGTGTGTGTGTGTGTGTGTATGTATGTATATGTATATAATGGAACTAATGTCTTTAAATTGCACTTAATATTTCATACAAATACAGTTTTTACTTAATAATGCTTAATAATAATACTTAATACTTAATAATTAATGAGTTTATCTTCAAACATAAGAATTTGAAATGTTTTTCACCTTATTATTATTAAGGCTGACAGATTTCATTACATTTGCTGAAAATACATCCTGGCCTTAGGGATTCCATCAACCCCCTGAGGAGGTATACTCTTATAATGCAAGAGGGCAAAAAAAAAAAAAAAAAAAAAAAAAAACAGGGGTAGGTTCTGCTGTACACTTTCAATCCTAACTGACATTTGCAAGGGTTAATTAAGGCATTCATCGTGATGAGCTATGAACTAGCTCCAGTTCTAAACCTAATATATACAATATTTGATGACAAAAACACAAACGTATGTGAATTGCCAAAGCAGTCAATATATAAGAAAAAACTGCAAGTGAAGAAGTAATTCTGTGCTAGTAGTTAGCCTGATGACATTCTTAGGAGAGTTCACCCCTCGAATGAAGTTCCTTGTGCTGGTAAGGGGCTCTTGATCCGTGTAACTGAACCTGGCTTCCCTTTCCGTGGATCAAACCTTAATACCTCCCAACCCCCCCAGGCACTGTATGACCCTAAGGGTTTATCACTTCCCCATAAATGTAGTAATCTAGCCAAATAAGGACAGTGTAAAAGGCCTCACCATAAATTTTGTGAAATGTGTTACCTGCAAAATTAACAAGAGCATCAGGATGTATCAAATTTTTGACTGCTACCGTGAGTACAGTATAAAAAATGGTACTAGATGAGAGCGTGCAACTCATATTTCTAAAGAGCATTTGAATTCTCTTTTGTCCATCTCAACAGGTTGTGCCAACTCCCACAAAAAACAAGACAGTTGATTAATATATCATGTGATGAAATACTGACAACAATGGAACAGTCAAACAACCCTAGCAGTCTACTGCTTATTGTGAGATCATCTATAAAGATTTTCAGTGAATTAGTGTATTTATCCAAAAGTATGGCTTCAAGAACATACATGAAGAGAGCTAATAAATGGAGAGTTAGAGGTATTGGGAAGATGGAGAGAATATTTTGAGGAATTGTTAAATGATAATGAAGATAGGGAAGCTGTGATTTCGTGTATAGGGCAAGGAGGAATAGCATCTTTAGGAGTAAGCCGGTTGTGAGTGTGGGGGAAGTTCGTGAGGCAGTGGGAAGAATGAAAGAGAGTAAAGCAGCTGGGATTGATGGGATAAAGAAAGAAATGTTGAAAGCAGGTGGGGATATAGTTTTGGAGTGGTTGGTGCTATTATTTAATAAATGTATGTAAGAAGGCAAAGTCCTGGGGATTGACGAGAGATGCAAGTCCCTTTGTATAAAGGAAAAGGGGGAAAAAGGAGTGAAAAAATTATGGGGGTAAGTTGTTGAGTATATCTGGTAAAGTTGATAGGTTGTTATTGAAAAAAAAAAAGAGTAAGACGAGAGTAGGTTTCAGATGAACACGGAGACTTTAAAAAAGGTAGGGGTGTGTAGAAAAGTTTTTTACAGTGAAAATATGGGGTGAACAGTTTTTAGATAAGGGCTAAAGGGGTTTTTTGTGGCTTTTTAGGTTTTGGAAAAGGCAGTGACAGGGGGATAGGGGGATCAATGTGGCAGTGTTAGGGGTTGGTGTGGAGGTGGTTTGAACAGTAAAATTTTTTTAAGAGGATAAAAAGGCCAAGTTAAAATATGTGGGGAGAAAGGGGGATTATTTCCCCAGTAAAAGTAGGCCTTAGAAAAGGATGGAAATGTCACTGGCGTTCAAAAATTTTAAGTGGGGTTGTAAGAAAGTAATGCGAGGGTTTTGGCAAGAGGTGTGGATTTAAAAGATAAAGAACAAACAAAAAAGTGGAAAGTTGTCACAGTTGTTTTGTGATGACATGCTTTTGGGGATTCTGAAAAGAAATTGTAGGGTTGGGAAATGAATTTGGGAGGGTTTGTAAAAAGAAGAAAAAAAGTGAATTAGGGAAAAGTAAAATGATAGGATAACAAAAAAATTAGTTGTAACAGATTGGAGGGGGAGAGTATGGGGAAAGAAAGTATTCATATTTAGGGAGTGGTCTTTTCCAATGGGTCTGTGAAAGATGAGGGGAATCAAAGAATTAGAGGGGGAAAAAAAGGGAGTGGTGCCTTGGAGTCTGTGGGGAAAAAGAAATTTGTCCCCTGGAACAAAGAGGGGGAAAAGTATGAGAGTATTTATCCCTATACCCAAAACTCTTTTATGGGTGGAAGCATGGGGGATGAATGTTGAGGGAGGGAAGGCTGGGCAGCGAAAATGTCGGTCTGAGGGGAGTGTGTGGGGTGAATATAATGCAGAGAATTCGTAGTTTGGAAATTTGGAGAAGGTGCAGGGTTACCAAAAACTTTATCTAGAAGGCGAGGAGGGGTGTTGAGGGGTTCGGGGCTGTAGGGGAATAAAAAAAAAAGAAGACTTCGAGAGGATAAAACTGTAGTGGGGGACCCTATGGAAAGGGTTTCCTTTATGTTGGTGGGGGGCTCTTGATTTAAGGAAATTGGTCTGTGCTCCGTTCCCGAAAATTAAATGAATGCCTTCCACTCCCCCTCCCCTGGCGCTGTAAATCCTAGGGGGGTTTGGGTTCCCCTTGATTTTTTAATAATAATAATGTGTGGAGGGAAGGGGGGTGGGGTCGGCCCCAGGAAGGGTTTGGGGTGAGGGGGTAAAAAGGGGGTTTTTTGTGCGGGGCTTTTTCCAGCAAGATGTGTGAGCTATTTATAGGAATGAATGGAGGCAAATGGTTTTTAATACTTGAGTGCTGTTTAGTGTGAACAAAGTAAAATTTTGAAGGGATTCAGGGGAAACCCGGCAGGGGCCCGGCTTGAGCCCTGGAGATGGGAAATACAGGGTTCTGCATTAAGGGGGGTTTAATGTTGAGTTTCATAAATTGTAGTGTAAAGCACCCTTGGCAGCGTGATGGAGGAATGATGTAATTTTTTTTTTTCAGGCCACCCGCCTTGGTGGGAATCGGCGAGTTTAAATAAAAAATGAAAAAGCTTTTGTATTTAAGTTTCAGATGTCTGTGTTGTTAGTGCTCTACGAAGCAGGTAGGGGAACAGTACCTTGTAAGAATGAATAACACTTGATCCAAAAAATTGGATCTAAATTCCCCTTCCTCTGAATTTGATTGCCCCCAGTGCCAGAAGGGCTTGTATAACTCCAACGGGTTTAGTGCTTTCTCATGAATTTATTCTAATACCTCATTGTACCACTCTGCAGACGTCGCCGCTGCTGGGCACCAGGGAAGCCATGTCCAAGGAAGGAGAGGAGGGGGGCAGGAGCAGCCCCCGTCACCCCTCAACCCATAAACCATCGCCCCTCAGGTCGTTCACTACATTCGTAAAGCAGGTATAGAACCCATACCCATGTGTGACCTTTCATTTGAGTGTGATCCCCTTGCTTATTAATTTTGACCCTTAATTTGGGGTTTAATTGTGAATGTGAATTTATTCATGTGTGACTTAAATTATATGAACCTTGACTCTAATTGTGACCCTTAACTAAGAATGCCTTCATTCAGGTTCTTGGGTTTCAGGTCTTCACGGCCAACAAAGAACTGAATATCGAATGTAATAGTGCAAGTATCCTTAAATACAATACAAATGCACAAAAGATACCGTCATACCTGGTTGGCTGTATACTAAAATGAGATTTTCATTCTTCAGTTATGACATTGTGTCATCAAGGTTAAAACGACCTTTCTTTCAGTAGTGAATGACCTATACAAGTTTAATGTTTTTTGTGAATATTCTACTACTACTACTAATAATAATGCTAATAATGTTAATGCTACTACTATTACTGCTATTACGACTGCTACTATTACTATTACAACTACTACTACTACCACCACCACCACCAGTACTACTACTACTATTACTACCACTACCTACTACTATTACCACTACCTACTACTATTACCACTACCTACTACTATTACCACTACCTGCTACTATTACCACTACCTACTACTGTTGTTACCACTACCTACTACTGTTGTTACCACTACCTACTACTGTTGTTACCACTACCTACTACTGTTGCTACCACTACCTACTACTACCACTACCTACTACTACCACTACCTACTACTACCACTACCTACTACTACCACTACCTACTACTACCACTACCTACTACTACCACTACCTACTACTACTACTACCCACTACTACTACTACCACTACCTACTACTACTACTACTACTACTACCACTACCTACTATACTACTGCTACTATACTACTGCTACTGCTACTATACTACTACTACTGAATATTAAAATGGTATAAAATGCCGACAGGTTGTTAGTTAAGACACCTATGCAACAGTTAGCTTTATTTCGAAACGTTTCGCCTACACAGTAGGCTTCTTCAGTCGAGTACAGAAAAGTTGATAGAAGCAGAAGAGACGTGAAGACGATGTAATCAGTCCATCACCCTTGAAGTTTTGAGGTGGTTAGTCCCTCGTTCCATAGTCTGACTATGGAACAATACTCTTCAGTACTCTTCTCCAGACTGAGGGACTAACCACCTCAAAACTTCAAGGGTGGTGGACTGATTACATCGTCTTCACGTCTCTTCTGCTGCTATCAACTTTTCTGTACTCGACTGAAGAAGCCTACTGTGTAGGCAAAACGTTTCGAAATAAAGCTACCTAACTGTTGCATTTGTGTCTTACCTAACAACACTACTACTACTCCCGACTACTACTACTACTACTACTACTACTACTACTACTTACTACTACTACTACTACTACTACTACTACTACTACTACTACTATTACTACTACTACTACTATACTACTACTATACTACTACTGCTACTACCTTTCTACTAACTCTAAATACTACTACTACTACTATACCCAAATTATACTACTACTACTTTTGTATTAATTTTCAACTACCTATACTAAATATTACTATACTTCAGTGCTACCACCGGTACTACCACTTGGTAAAGAGACATCTCTTTTGCACCACTGAATGAGACATGTTTAGTTCTTTTGCATGTACAGTATATAATAATAATAATAATCACTCTTCTATAAAGCCCATTGAAAACAGCTAAAAATGTACTCTTGTTTATTAACATTCTTTAGTATGTAGATTGCTAAGTAATGACATCTTGCTCTACAATTATCTGATGAAGGTCAACTTATGGCATGGACAATGTTGTGAGGCTCTCCCTGCCCAGGCACTCTGATAACCACTGTCCTCAATCTCCGTTCCCACAGGTGATGAAGAATGTGACTTTGGAGCCTATGCTGTTCCTGAAGATGATGGCTGAGGGCAACTATAAGGTAGTGGCAGATACACTTGAGATCGCCGGTGTGTGTGTCAACCTAACTTTTTACAAAGGAAGAATGTATTAACATGGACGTGACAATACATGATAGTTCAGGTGGGTTCTCCACTTTCTTTGAGATAGTTTATTTAACTGAGTGACATCAGTTTACTAGACTGATTTTTATTTGCACGTCCCTCTAATAAATTTTTAAAAAAACTTTCATGATTTCTTGAGGGCAAAGCCCAAATATGATATTTCAATTTAAGATATTTTTATAATTTAAAATGTTAAATTTAAATAGTCGTGATTCATTGGGGGAAAATGTAAACACAATTGGGTTTAACAGCACTGTGGAAAAGGAGGCATCAGGAAAGATAAGTTCAATTTTCCCTTTAACTCACAAATCCTCACAACATTAAGGACCCCACTTGAGGGGCAGTCTGGTTGTAGCTCCATGCAAAATAAAACCTTAGATTATACAGGTAGTATTGAAAATTTTTGCCCCTTGATTTTCATAGACTTATAAAATGCTACTGTAAAAGTTTAACATAAGTTATTTTTTTAAATTTAAAACCCTTCTCAAATATATTTTTTAGCATACCATTCAGCTATTTTAGGAGTGTTTCTTTCTTCAGATTGCTGTGCAGAAATATGAGAACACATTCAACTACTACCAGAGTTTGATGGATAGTCTGATCCCTTTAGCTGTGGTGTTATTTATGGGCTCCCTCAGTGACATCCATGGCCGTAAGCCACCAATGCTGGCTGTCTTGATGGGCTTTGTGGCTGTTGCTGCTATTTATCTTGTAACATCTTTAAATCCTTCATGGCCTGTTGAAGTGCTGTATGCAGGCCCCTTAGCAGTGGATATCACAGGCTCATGGGTTGTGTTTAATATGGCGGTCTACAGCTATGTAGCAGATATCACACCCCCTGAGAATCGTACAAAAAGACTGGGATTCTTGGATGCCTGTTGGTATCTTGGTGGACCATTGGGTCGCCTAATAGGAGGCTGGCTGTACCAATTTGCAGGCTACCCTGCAGTTTTCTTCTTGTCTGGAGTTTTATGGGGCTTTTGCTTTGTGTATGTATTACTATGGATACTAGAGAGTGTTAACAATCCATCCAGAGGCGTTAGTGTCACAAGGAGATGAAGGAGCTCGCTTGGGTCCTCTGCAAACTTGTTAGTGGCCCTGCTGAGGATGCCATTCAAGGCCAGGTCCTGGGAAGTAACCGTATGTATCTTATGATATTACTGATCCTCAAACTCATGGTCTTCCTGGTCCAGGGCCATCAAGTGTACCTGTGGGCTAGGCGTGTGCTTGGATGGAAACCAGCAGTGTTTTCCACCTGGAGCAGCTTGGACTCGGTTGTGCACGAATTTGGTATGGTGGTCTGGGTGTGGGTGGCAGCAAGAATGAGTATGCACGACACTATGGTTGCTGTGGGTGGATTGGTCTCCCTCGGGATATGGTCAGCAGTACTGGCTTGCATTATTGGCCCTGAGACATGGTGGCTGGCGGTGGTTGCATCAGTGTTGGGCATGTTTGAACCTGCCATAGAACCAGCCATTCGAACTTTGCTCACAACAGTAGTTGGAGTGAGTGAGGTTGGCAGAGTCCTAGCTCTCTCTGGCCTCCTGGAGTCTGCATGGTTTACAGTTGATCAGACCATCTACACTGAACTCTATAATGCCTTCGTCAAAACATTCCCACAGGTAAGTTTTTTTTGTTTTGTTTTCTCACTTTCCCCTCCCTCTCTGCTCCATATACATACATACAAACTACAGACAGGCTATTTCTCCCTTTACAAAACATGTCTGGTACCAGATGGAAATGCAAAGAAATAGATTAGCAAACATCTGATGGAAATTATTTTGTTTTACAAAATTCCAGATTAAGTTTGGAGTTGGCACTTCCTTCATTGTGAACCTAATCAGATTTTGTACGTGGTAATTAAAAAGGAATATAATGGTTATCAAGGCTTATGAAAATGATACCTTACAGAAGTTCAGTTAACGAAATGAAAAAAACGGGATAAAGGAAAAAAATCTTAGACAATACCAAAATATATGAAATGCAGAAGGCAAAATTGGCGAGTGAGGCCACAAGTTGAAGAATGTCGATAATATTTTTGTCCCCTTCTCTGATGTAATGGAATAATCTAATAAAGAGATTTCCCTTTTTTCCATGTTCATATTACTTGGAAAAGTGCATGAATGATTCATTTAGTTGTTGGATTTCAAACGTGAAAGCTTCAAAATATATTGAAGCTGGGAACTGGGAAGAAACGGCTTGAGAAATAGTGTTAATTATTAAAGATGTTAAAAGTTAAGGGAAAAGGACAAGGGGATAGACATCACATCAAGGCATGATGACATAATTCAAGATACCAAGAGTATTGACAGGGCAGGCAAAGACTGAAAAAGGATGGGCCAAACAAGAGAGAGATTTAATACCAAAATGATTGGTTAAATGTAAAATACCTTTAGTGTAAAGGTAATGGCAGGCTTTTTTTTTTTCAACAAGTCTACCGTCTGCCACGAGCAGGGTTACCTAAAAAGACAGGAAAAACCCCAAAAAGAAAATACTTTCATCGTAAATCAACACCTTCACCTCACTCACACGTAATCACTGTTTTTTCAGAGGTGCCCAGAATACACAGTTTAGAAGCATATATAAAGATATATAACATATCCCTCCAAACTGCCAAATCCCAAACCCCCCCTTTAAAGTGCAGTCATTGTACTTCCCCTTTCCAGTACACAAGTTGGCTATATAAAATAACCGGTTGCCTGAATCCCTTCACTAAATTTTTACCCTGCTCACACTTGTATGGATTTTTAAAACTTTAGGTATATGATAGAATCTAGGAGATTAATAATCATTTTTTTTTCAACAAGTTGGTCGCTCCCACCAGGCAGGGTGACCAAAAAGAAGAAAATCCCCAAAAAGAAAATACTTTCATCCCCATTCAACCTTTCACACACTCACACATTATCATGCTTTTTTCAGAGGTGCTCAGAATACAACAGTTTAGAAGCATATACGTTTAAAGATACACAACATATCCCTCCAAACTGCCAATATCCCAAACCCCTCCTTTAAAGTGCAGGCATTGTACTTCCCATTTCCAGGACTCAAGTCCGACTATAAGAAAAAAAACTGGTTTTCCCTGAATCCCTTCACTAAATATTACCCTGCTCCCCACTCCAACAGATCGTCAGGTCCCAAGTATCATTCGTCTCCATTCACTCCTATCTAACACGCTCATGCACGCTTGCTGGAAGTCCAAGCCCCTCGCCCACAAAACCTCCTTTACCCCCTCTTTCCAACCCTTTCGAGGACGACCCCTACCCCTCTTTCCTTCCCTATAGATTTATATGCTTTCCATGTCATTCTACTTTGATCCATTCTCTCTAAATGACCAAACCACCTCAACAACCCTCTTCTGCCCTCTGACTAATGCTTTTATTAACTCCACCTTCTCCTAATTTCCACACTCCGAATTTTCTGCATAATATTTACACCACACATTGCCCTTAGACAGGACATCTCCACTGCCTCCAACCGTCTCCTCGCTGCTGCATTTACCACCAAGCTTCACATCCATATAAGAGTGTTGGTACTACTATACTTTCATACATTCCCTTCTTTGCCTCCATAGATAACGTTTTTTGACTCCACATATACCTCAACGCACCACTCACCTTTTTTCCCTCATCAATTCTATGATTAACCTCATCCTTACCACCACCCCACCCCATCCTTCATAAATCCATCCGCCGACACGTCAACTCCCAAGTATCTGAAAACATTCACTTCTTCCATACTCCTCCTCCCCAATTTGATATCCAATTTTTCTTTATCTAAATCATTTGATACCCTCATCATCTTACTCTTTTCTATGTCACTTTCACTTTCTACCTTTACACACATTCTCAAACTCATCCACTAACCTTTGCAATTTTTCTTTAGAATCTCCATAAGCACAGTATCATCAGCAAAAAGTAACTGTGTCAATTCCCATTTTGAATTTGATTCCCCATAATTTAATCCCACCCCCTCTCCCGAACACCCTAGCATTTACTTCTTTTACAACCCCATCTATAAATATATTAAACAACCATGGTGACATTACACATCCCTGTCTAAGACCTACTTTACCGGGAAGTATTCTCCCTCTCTTCTACACACCCTAACCTGAGCCTCACTATCCTCATAAAAGCTCTTTACAGCATTAGTAACTTACCACCTATTCCATAAACTTGCAACATCTGCCACATTGCTCTCTATCCACTCTATCATATGCCTTTTCTAAATCCATAAATGCATAAAAAACTTCCCTACCTTTATCTAAATACTGTTCACATATATGCTTCAATGTAAACACTTGATCTACACATCCCCTACCCACTCTGAAGCCTCCTTGCTCATCCGCAATTCTACATTCTGTCTTACCTCTAATTCTTTCAATTATAACTCTACCGTATACTTTTCCTGGTATACTCAGTAAACTTATTCCTCTATAATTTTTACAATCTCTTTTGTCCCCTTTCCCTTTATATAAAGGGACTATACATGCTCTCCGCCAATCCCTAGGTACCTTCCCCTCTTTCATACATTTATTAAACAAAAGTACCAACCACTCCAACACTATATCCCCCCTGCTTTTAACATTTCTGTCATGATCCCATCAGTTCCAGCTGCTTTACCCCCTTTCATTCTACGTAATGCCTCACGTACCTCCACCACACTTACATTCTGCTCTTCTTCACTCCTAAACGATGGTAGACCTCCCTGGCCAGTGCCTGAAATTACCGCCTCCCTTTCTTCCTCAACATTTAAAAGTTCCTCAAAATATTCTCGCCATCTACCTAATACCTAATACCGAGGGATAAAAACACCAAGGGATAAAAACACAGTAATATATACCACAAAATATTTCAAAATTTCTATATACGTACGTATTTATTTATGGAAATCATGAGTGAATTTAATTCCTTGCTAACACTATCTTCTTGGTATTTTTCTCTAAACTTATTATTATAATTGACTATGTTTTATTGCCACAACAGTGGCAACTTTTATTGATAGTTGTACCTCATTTTCATTATTGTCTCATGAAATGTTTTAATATTGGAGAATTTAGCACTTTATTAGAGGAAATATATTAATCTATCAGTATGTAACGATATAGAGTCGTAACAAATTGTTTCTTATTTTTGTTGGCCAATTGTAGGTCTTCGTTATATAAATATGTACAGTTTGTGGTTTAATAAAAAGAATGTGCATTGTATGTTGTCTACAATGTATTCACAGATCAACTTTGTAGTGCAAGCAGTTTGTGTGTCGTGCTGATTTTGGTACTGGTGTTCCTTCGTCTGGACATGGGTCGACAACCTGCAGCCACTCATACCCATGACCCAACACTCTCTACCCACACCACCTGTGACACCATCTACAGTGTGCAGGGTACTCAAGTAGAAAAGGGCAACAAGATGATGCTCACAGTCCTCCATTTGACAGTCCCCATGCCCATCATACATAAACTGTATGTTGAACTTGCTAGATGACCACTTTTTATAGCAATATTGTTTTTATTTATTTTTTAATTACAGTTTTCCCATGTTTTGTGTGAAGGAAATTTTGTACTGTATGGAGAATGGGCAAGGGAAAGATAACCAAATGCATTTTCTTTCTTAGATTAGTACTAAATTTACACTATATACGTATTTGCACTGAAATGCGTATATGCTGTGTACACTGTGATATACAGTATATCTGCTGAACCTATTCTCTTTATACAGTATGTCTGTTAAATCAATTTTCTGTCATACATATTTATAATATATTCATAATATTCCTCCAATGAGTCTTATTTTTTCTTACATTTCATACAATTAGAGAATAATTTTCTTACAGATAGTTACATATTAAAGTACAATTTCGTGTTTTAATCTCTGGGAGAATAATGTGTACTGTATTGTACAGAGTTTGTAAATGTATACACCCAACCTGTTTGTGAAAACTATATAAATTTTTGTTTTTGTATTTGTGTGTCAAGACTTGAAGTTTAAAGATTCCTTCATTGAAGCTGGTGCCATGCTGATAAAAAGCTTGATCAAGGAATTGGAGGTAATTCTCCCTTGGGTTAGAACTGTGACCCTTATGGGTTTAGTGCCTACTAATAATAAGTCTGTTGACTTTACTATCTTTATTGCCATGAAAATGTGTCTTGGCGTGCTTTACGCTGCCAAATGTTGATAAAAAAAATTTCAGTTATGTGATGTATGAATTAAAATAAATTACTTGCACACTTTTTAGCAGTGGTATTTATTTTTATATCCTGTATAAGCCAATTATATAGGAATGATTTCAGACTGTATATAAATCTTAAGGAGTCAAAGTATTGTATTCCTGTAAAGTTAAAACCATCTTCATTAAGGTTTGCTGTTTTTTTAACACACTTGGGCAGTTTTTTATATATAAATTCATTGACCATTATTTAGTTGTAGCTACAGTTAGAGTAAGAGGTAGATGGGACAGGCGGAAGGTGGCAACAACAAGTAAGAGAGGTGAAAGTGTATAAACTAAGGGAGGAGGAAGTTCGGGCGAGATATAAGCGACTATTGGCAGAAAGGTGGGCTAGTGCAAAGATGGATTTGGGGGGGGGGGTTAAAGAAGGGTTGGAATAGTTTTAAAAATGCATTTATTAGAATGTGAGGCAGAAGTTTGTGGTTATAGGAGGGTGGAGGCAGGAAGAAAAGTGGGTGATTGGTGGAATGATGAAGAAAAGGGTGTGATAAAAGGGGAAAAGTTAGCTTATGAGAGGTTTTTACAAGAAGTGTTTTTAAGAAGAGCAGAGTATATGGAGAGTAAAAGAAAGGTGAAGAGAGTGCAAAAGGAGAGCAGATGATAGAGTGGGAGAGGCACTGTCAAGAAATTTTAATGAAAAAAGAAAAATTTTTGGAGTGAGCTAAACAAGTTAAGAAAGCTTAGGGAACGTATGGATTTGTCACTTAAAAACAGAGTAGGGGAGTTAGTAGATGGGAATGGAGGTATTAGGAGATGCCGAGAATATTTGAGGAACTTTAAATGTTGAGGAAGAAAGGGGGCGGTAATTTCATGCATTGGCCAAAGGGGGGTATTACCATCTTTTAGGAGTGAAGAAGGCAGAATGTAAGTGTGGGGGAGGTACGTGAGGCATTACGTTTGGTAAAGCAGCTAGAACTGATGGGATCATAACAGAAATGTTAAAAGCAGGGGGGGATATAGTGTTGGAGTGGTTGGTACTTTTGTTTAATAATTGTATGAAAGAGGGGAGGTACCTAGGGATTGGCGGAGAGCATGTATAGTCCCTTTATATAAAGGGAAGGGGGACAAAGATTGTAAAAATTACAGAGAAATAAGTTTACTGAGTATACCAGGAAAAGTTTGTAGATGAATGGTTCAGAGAACCGACATGTTGATAAATTAGACACATGTGCAACTCTTGGGTATCTTTATTGAGAAAACGTTTCGCTACACAGTGGCTTCATCAGTCCATACGTAGGAGAAACTTGAACAGGAGGAGAATGAGGTAATCAGTCCCTCAACCTTGAGTCGATGTGTTCAGTCCATCAATCTTGAATATTCAAGATTGATGGACTGAACACATCGACTCAAGGTTGAGGGACTGATTACCTCATTCTCCTCCTGTTCTTCAAGTTTCTCCTACGTACGGACTGATGAAGCCACTGTGTGGCGAAACTTTTTTCTCAATTAAAGATCCCCAAGAGTTGCACATGTGTCTAATTTATCACCAGGAAAGTGTACGGTAGGGTTATAATTAAAAAGAATTAGGGTAAGACAGAATGTAGGATTGCGGATGAGCAGGGAGGTTTCAGAGTGGGTAGGGGATGTGTAGATCAAGTGTTTACATTGAAGCATATATGTGAACAGTATTTTAGATAAGGGTAGGGAAGTTTTTATTGCATTTATGGATTTAGAAAAAGCATATGATAGAGTGGTAGGGGAGCAATGTGGAAATGTTGCAAGTATATGGAAAGGTAGTAAGTTACTAAATGCTGTAAAGAGTTTTTATGGGATAGTGAGGCTCAGGTTAGGGTGTGTAGAGAGAGGGAGACTACTTCCCGGTAAAGTAGGTCTTAGACAGGGTGGTAATGTCACCTGGTTTTTTAAATAATTTATAGATGGGGTTGTAAAAGAGGAAATGCTAGGGGTGTTCGGGGAGGGGGTGGGTTTAAATTATGGGGAACCAATACAAAATGGGGAATGAACAGTTACTTTTGCTGATGATGCTGTGCTTATGGGAAATTCTAAAGAAAAATTGCAAAGGTTAGTGGATGAGTTGGGAGTGTGTGTAAGGTAAAAATGAAAGTGACATAGAAAGGGGTAAGGTATGAGGGTATCAAATGATTTGATAAAGAAAATTGGATATCAAATTGGGAAGAGGAAGGGTCGGAAAGAAGTGAATGTTTTCAGATACTTGGGAGTTGACGTGTCGGCGGATGGATTTATGAAGGATGAGGTTAATCATAGAATTGATGAGGGGAAAAAAGGTGAGTGGTGCGTTGAGGTATATGTGGAGTCAAAAAACCTTATCTATGGCGGCAAAGAAGGGAATGTATAAAAGTATAGTAGTACCAACACTCTTATATGGGTGTGAAGGTTGAGTTGTGAATGCAGCAGCGAGGAGACGGTTGGAGGCAGTGGAGATGTCCTGTCTAAGGACAATGTGTGGTGTAAATATTATGCAGAAAATTCGGAGTGTGGAAATTAGAAGGTTGAAGAGGGGTTGTTGAGGTGGTTTGGTCATTTAGAGAGAATGGATCAAAGTAGAATGACATGGAGAGCATTTAAATCGGTAGGAGAAGGAAGACGGGGTAGGGGTCGTCCTCGAAAAGGTTGGAAGGAAGGGGTAAGGGAGGTTTTATGGGCGAGGGGCTTGGACTTCCAGCAGGCGTGCATGAGCGTGTTCGATAGGAGTGAATGGGGACGAATGGTATTTGGGATCTGACGATCTGTTGGAGTGTGAGCAGGGTAATATTTAGTGAAGGGATTCAGGGAAACCGGCTATTTTTATATAGCCGGACTTGAGTCCTGGAAATGGGAAGTTCAATGCCTGCACTCTGAAGGAGGGGTTTCGGGATATTAGCAGTTTGGAGGGATATGCTGTGTATCTTTATAGGTATGTGCTTCTAAACTGTCGTGTTCTGAGCACCTCTGCAAAAACAGTGATTATGTGTGAGTGAGGTGAAAGTGTTGAATGATGAAAGTATTTTCTTTTTGGGGATTTTTTTTCTTTTTTGGGTCACCCTGCCTCGGTGGGAGACGGCCGACTTGTTAAAAAAAAAATTCATTGATACACTACAGATAAGCCTCCAATATCTGCTTATTTTACCTGTAATTTCAGTGAAAAAAAGTGTCTTGTTGGCATCAGGCCTGGTAGAATGAGGTACACTTGGAACTGTGAATATGTGGTTTGGTCTGGGGTGCTTAAAGATTTTTATTATTGTCAAATTAAATCAAATCAAGTTTATTCTCTATAAAGATTACAATGCTGAGTTTACAGAATTTGGATATTGTGTGGTTTACATGTTTTAAAATACTAATTACAGAGGGGGCCACTAGAACACCTAGCATGGCTAGGCATTTCGGGCAGACTTAGATTAATTCTTACCTTTAAAATATTACAAATTATGAGGCAAGTTGGTATTATGGCTAAGTGACTAAATACTAGCTTGTGAGTTTAGCAATGTGAATGCTTTTGTTCTCGCACAATACATAGTTTCAGTATTGGAGTATCACAGGCCAACTTCTGACTAGTTAGGATTCATTATTTTAAGATTAAGAATGATATTTGTGTTCATGGTCAAGTGGGTGAGTGATTGTAAGTGTGAACCACCAGGTGGTATTCATGTAATTAGTTGACGGGGTGTATCAGGTAGTTAAGATGTTTTCTAATGGTAGTTTTGAAGGTGATGAATGTGTCTGCAGTTCTAGAGTATTCAAGTAGGGTATTCCAGATTTTAGGGCCTTTGACATACATTGAATTTTCGTAAAGGTATAGTCGGACATGGGGAATGTCAGAGATGTTTGTGTCTGGTGTTATGCCTGTGGGTTCTGTCACAACTATCAAGAAAGCGTTTTAGGTCAAGGTTAATATTGGAATTTAAGGTCCTGTAGATGTAGATTGCACAGTAGTAAGTGTGGATGTACTGTACAGGGAGTAAGTTTAGATCTATGAGTCCACCCTGAATTTTAAAGCACTTGTTAGCAGCTAGTGATGCCCTAGTGGTATGTAAATACATACAATGTCATGTATACGTACATATGTATGCATGTATATGCTCATGTTTGCATATAAGCGCATGTAAAATTTATTCACCGATGTACACATGTGTGAAGGCTTACTCAGCCCTGTAATATCTTCAGACAGTATTACCAAGGCTGGCTCCTCCACAGGAAAATTAATGAATAGAAAAAGAAATAATAACAGACAAACATAAACACTTTATTATATAGAAAATATAAAACACTTAAATA